TAATACAAGTGCTCATTCTTCGTGTTTCTCTCTCATCATTGTCTGATGTTGCTAAGTCAGTAAATTGAAGAATAAGTTTAGTAATATTGTGAAAAAACTTTCTCTTTTATGCGTGAAGTTTTTGATAATGTTATCGAGCTTATTTATGCAGAATGCAACAACAAACTCTCTATAGAAGAAAATATAACAACAGCCGGTTATTGTTTCTTTACTTTGAATCATTTATTAATGACGAAGGGTGCTTTACAAAGTAATACATGGCTGGACGATGCGAAAAGCGAATGAACTACCCTAAGTTATGAAAAAAATATACAACAGTTTGTCTTCAACGTCTTTGAAGTTTACTATTGATTATTCGTATCTTTGTCATGCTCATGCATAGGAAATCGAAAGTAACTATAGAACGATTCTAAAGATTGCTTTTAGAGCAAAGCAACAGCTATGATGGCAGTTGGACGATGATTTCAAGTGGAAAAATTTTGCGTACCGTTCGCCTTACTATTTCATGAAATTATGTCAGTCGCTCAATCAACTATAGATAACATTATTACCTGTTTTTTTAACAGAGTAGATTTTGAGTGTCTTACCTAAATAAAACTCTATTTTTCTGTGTGAATCAGCAAAATTGTCAATATATTTTTGAATGTGAATGTTGGTATTTTTTTGTTGTTTGTTACTCTATAATACCGATATTCACAAGCATACCCCATACGAACTAGAATTTTTTTTTCGTCATACTCAAATTATTTCTATGGAAGTAAATTAGATTGCATGAAGAAAATTACAACCATTCATCTGTGTAATTTTTTTGTTTCGATGAACGTTATTTAATTTTTATATCCGTTTTGAGACATATAATTTTGACTACTCATTTGTTTTTGTATCATAATTGTAGAAGCATGATTCATCGCTAGTAATAGTGTTAAGTGTGTCATGGAAGTGGTCTTTTTCAAATTGTTTGAATAAATTACAATAAAATTTCATGGAATAGTGTTTCTCGTTCTTAATTAGTTGATAAGATATTCATCGAGCAGAAAGTTTCCTTTAGCTTCAAACAGCTATAAACAATAGAATCGACTGCTGAAGAAACAATACTGAGAATGTTTTCATATGTCTGAATATTAAATGAAGCTCATTTTTAAGTAATGTTCAAAACAGCATTTATTGTTTCTACAAAGAAAAAGCATTATTTTAAACTATGAAGTTGAAAAAATCTGCTTATTTTTCTGGCCCAACTTCTTGAATTAAGATAGAATTTTCTTCATAGGAATTGATACATTTTATCTATTTTACTTAAAATCATTACTTAACACGACGAAAGACTTTTCACATCATTAAAAGACATCACTACTGATAAGAAGATAAAAATGATCGTTAAAGCATGAATTTCTACTAGACTTCATTTATTCAAAATTTTTTAATATCTATATTAATAAAAAATTCTTCGCTGATGCCTAGTAACTCTTATAAGTCTTAGAATAGAATAGAATTTTTTTTAATATTTTTGTATTAAAAAAGTCGTTGAAAAACGTTCGCTCGAAATTCATAGATGAAAAATCTCTATTTAAAAAAGAAATTAATCTTTCATGTTTGGATCATAACAGACGATCGTTTTCATTTTCTACCTTGAATCGGTCTCTTAGCTATTTAGCATTGAACCAAAACATTGATATATGTCAAAAATTAAGCTATTTATTTAAATAAATACAAGTATTAAGTATAATCACACGTTCATCATGACAATCATTAAAAACAGGACAAATACGACAATGATGTCGTACAATTAGAGCTGAATCGATTGTTGGTTTAGATCCATTTTCATTCGTTGTTGTGGATGTTAATTGTTAATGTCATTTTTCTAATTTTTTCATCACAAATAAGTATATATAATACTGATTCGATATCTTGTGCAGTTAATGTTACTGTAGAAATACCTATTTGATTAGGAATTGAAGGAAGTTCAGAATTAGACATCAACGAACTTGTTTATCGTAGAAATGGATCATTCAAAAAGATTTTCTATTGATTCTTCAAGACGTTCATCTAACAAACGTGCACATTGTTCATTCGAAATTTGAACAAATTCAACTTGAAACTCTGGATCAGAATGCCATATATATCACTGATTATAGACGGATTTAATATTAATTCATAGAAAATATGAATCTAGAATATCATATTATTTTTATTCAAAATAAAAAACAACTATAAAGATTTTTGATGACTTTTAACTAGATAGAGAGAAAGAGTCTTTCTCTAGAATTGAAGACTATGGCAATGATTTTTTTTAGCGTTCATTCATATACCAATATAAATCTTATTTTTCTTTGATTTATTCAAATAATATTTTTTTAATTCTCGAATGTTAATACATTAATTGAGTTTTCGAACAAATTTTGACAAATGCATCTAACGTTCTTTTCAACAATTCTAATCATTAGATCAGAGATGGACGAGCCGCGGTGTAAAACCGCCCCGTCCCGCCCCGCCCCGCCCCGCCGCGGGGCGGTGCTAAAACTTGACGGGGCGGGGCGGTGACGGTGCATGACAAAATTTCGCGGTTTCCCCGCCTTTGTATAACCTTGATTTTTTAAATATACTCAGACCTTTATAGACATCTTTTAAAAATTTTAAAATTTTTTCACAAAACTAATCAGTAAAAAAGGACTTGCTAGCGCAGCTCCAGAGAAGCTAAAATGTGGAACTCACATATATTTTTTTAATTTTTTGTCCTGATGCCTTATTTTTGAATTGTAAAATACCTTTTTTCCGAATACGTATGAAATCATTAATATATTATACAAAAAACTAGAGCCTTTAATGCGCTGCTAAGGTCTGTAATGGTGGTGGTCACGGTTACCAGATCGAAAATTGAAAATCAGAAAAATTTTTCTAAAAATCGGGAAAAAGTCGGAATTTTTGTTCTCGAAATCGGAAGAAAATCAGAAAGTATTTTTCCATGCTTAAATAACTAGTTTATATATTTTCGATAGCTTCAATATCCTTTATCTTGCTTCTGTTCATCTTTTCGAAGCAATATCGGAAATGATATTTCATAAAGAATTAAAGAAAATATCGATTACACAATTTACTCATGATTGAGAAATCTACATAAGTAATTTGAACAGGATCACATTATTTTTATCAAAAATGCTATAACCAACTTGACGAAACAATAGAATCAGTATTGTAAATTCATACACACACATGCATTTCACAAAACTTATGCAAAAGAAAACTAAGACTTATTCTGTATAATGTTCGTTTTCGTTCATACTTTTTTATTAGCTCGAATACTCTTCAAAATATCAGGTTGAGGTAACAGATATTCATAAAAATGTCCACAAGTATAAACAGAATTCATTCCGATTTTCAATTCTGCAGCAGCTAAATTAGTACCCATACGATAATGATTAATTTTATTATATCTGTGATGAAACAAAAAAAGCTCAGAAACGAAAATATCCTTAATTAACACTATAGTAAACGAACAGAGAAAGTTAGTTCATCGTGATAGAAAGCTGGATCTTAATTGTCTGTAAAACATCATAGTTTTATTGGAGGATATGCTTTCAAATCACTGCAGTGTGGTTTGTTGAGTTCATGACGCTTCACTACCCGATAACTATGGTGAAATAGATCGCTATATATGTGTGGTGTCGTGTCATGGTTAAACTATTCTAGAATGTCCTAAGAACTTGAATTCCCAAATAAGACTTCGAAAACCGGAGGAAAATTAGGAAATCTGAAGGCGATCGGAAAAATATGTTAAAATCGGAACGTCAGAAAGTCGTTGGAGAAACTTTCAAAAAATCGCAATTTTTCCTGCCGTATCGGAAGATCTGGCAACCCTGAGTGGAGTGCCTGTAATGGAGTGGGGGAAGGGAGAGAGCCGCCAAACCTCGAACTTAAAACTTACAATCACTATTTTATTCGAAAATATACGTGAGTTCCACAAAATGAGTGACTGTATTATAATTGCCTTTCATTTTCATATATTTATTTTTTTCTATTTCGGAATGATGTTTATGCATTTAAAATATGCCTCTTCATCTCATGAAATGAAATAGCCATTATGAAAATTTAATGAAAAATTTGCCAATAAATAGTTTTTTAAAACATATTTTTGACGGGGCGGGGCGGGGCGGTGGCGGTTTCAATGCTAAACAGGCGGGGCGGTGGCGGTGTGGAACTTTATCAGCGGTGTGGGACGGGGCGGTGACGGTGCGACTTTTTTGTTGACTCGTCCATCTCTGCATTAGATCTTAAAGCAGAAAGAATATTTCGATTAATTTTTAGATTGTTGAAACTTGATATTTTTAAACTTAGTTTTCCTTGATACGAATGAATGTATCAAAAAGCAAGATTTCTATAGTTAAATCGGCAAGCTCTATCAAATAATGAGAAAAACATTTTCTCAAATTGCATGTATCTTACATCTGTTCCATTCTATAGTCAAAACTTTATTGTTGTTTTTTGTTTTTTTTACTTTTCGTTTATTAAAATGTATTTATTTGACAGCTTTAATTTATTTTTTAACTTTCTAATGATTTAAATGTTTTATTAAGTATTGTTGAAGATAATTAATTATACTTTAAATCTAATATTACGTATCCATATACCTAAATTTCCTGTTTCTTTAGCAATTTGATAAATTGTTCTTTCTATTTGATCTGTTACTCTATTACCAATTGATATTAATAAATTTGATTTATTTATTGGATCTTATATACGATAGAGATATGTAATGATAATAAATGATTTTATACATTGAATTTTTCAAGTATTTGATCATTAACATCAATAGGAAACTGAAGATAGAATCAATTTAGATTTCGGATGATTATTTAACATTTTAATATTATACTGAGAAAGATATAAGAATGTATTTTATTGATGATCTATCATAAGACATATTGTAGATGTAAAAAAAAAGAAAAGAAGATTTGTCTAATAACACAAACAGAGATAACAAAAAACGAAATTTTTGTTTTAATTTTTTAATTTGTAGCAGTAGTTTCATTTTCTTGTTTGATTGTATGATCTTTATTTTGTTGAATAATGCCATATTTTAAACAGATTTCAATAATATCCGAAGCTATTTTACGATTCTAAAATAAATAAAGAAAGAAAGAAAATTTTCAGTTTTCATAATCAAGTTAAATCTGTATGATTTTTTTTCTCTTTTTTTATATAAATGAAATATTCTAACTCGATTTTAGTAAGAATGAGTCTATGACATTAAATAAAATTTATTTCTATATATTATTATTTGATAAGCTTAATGTTATAATTCAAACAAATATTTCTTGTAAATCTTTAAATATAATCAATAAGTTAAAACATACATTTTCATTGATTAGATGATCATCTTTAATTTCTTTAAGAGCAAATAAAATATCCATTAATTCTGTTTCAACAATACGTATAGCAAGTTGTTTATTTGCTTTAACTATATTACGAATTATATATAAAGTTCGATATTGTAAATCTGAATTATTACAAGCACATAATTGTTAAAAAATTTCAGTAAATGATTTAACCTAGCGAAAAAAAAAGTAATTAAATAAAATAATAATTAGAACAAAATAAATACAAACATCAAGTATTTTTTTACATATAATTTGATTATTTTGAATTAAATTATTTAAATGTTGACGTTCTTCATTTTCTAAATTTAAATCTTTAATAAATTCAAGATCCAATGATAATGATAATAAAACAGCTAATGTTCCTCAAGATGCTTTTATTAATAATTCATCATCTTTACCACATCATAAAACTAATAATTTAATACGATCATTTTCATTTGTAAATTGTTTAATAACCTAAATAATAAAAATAAATAATAAAATAAAATTTAAATATGAATTTATTTACTTCTTCTTGAACAACTCAATTACACAAACATTCAACAGCAGCTCGTCTTAATAAAGGATGTTCTTCAAACATATATTGTTCAATACTTGAAAATCCATCTTCTTTTAATATACGTTTTCGAACATTTTCACTAATACTAGCTAAATTAGTTAAAGCCATTAATGCTTCAAAATTTTCTAATGCTGTATGTTCAATTTTTAAAATTTTTATTATTGGTCGTACAAGTTCAAGCATCTAAAATCATAAAATTTTCAATAATTAATTAAAAAATTAATTATATCAATAATATACACGTTGTCCAGGAAAAGCTATTTCTGGATTTGTTGTTATTGCAATTTTAGCTAATGCTTGAGTTGCTTTTGTCATACCAATAGATGTTCCTTCTAATGCAAGTGGAAGTAATGCCTTAAATCAAATAGAAATAAATATCTTATTATTAATATAAATTTTTAAATTTTTCTCTACAAATCATAATAAACATTTAATCTTAACCCTTTATCCCCCACAGTAGTTTCAGAAGCGCTAGCAATGAAATTACCCTTGAAATAAAGTATTGGTGCCTCCGATATGCCAAAAGTATGAACAAATCAAAGAAATGCTTTCTTCAATTTTAGGGCAGTTTCCTTAGGGGGAGTAGGGGGAAAATTTTGACAAATTTTCTGGAGTATTCTGCAAAACTGATGTATCTCAGTAAAGAAACGTCGTAGAGAGCTCGGAAACGTTTCATTTCATAGGAAAATGTTTGCTCTGTAATTCTCTATGATTGAGACAATCGTTGCATTGATTCGTGAATATTTAAGAACTCGAATACTACTATTATAGAAATCTTCCAGTGACTATTGTAAATTTTACTATATGTTAACCTTCTAAACTTTTCTGAAAATTCTGGAAACTAAATATATCACTAGTGGACACTTTAGTCTATATGTATCACGCAGTAGGTCGCTGGAAGATTTATTGCTGAGAAATAGAAAATAACCTTTACAACACAATCGTCTGTTTTCAAAATCGTCGCTCATAGGAATCACATATCTCCAAACGAGCGCGATGGAAAAAACGTTTTTTTTTACCGATTGGTAACCCATGAAGTGTACCACAAAGTGTTCTTAGAATTTCTCAATCAAATGCTTTCTTAATCTTTCGCAACTGTTCTTCCAGTGGCCATTAGGGGGGGGGGGGGGGGGGGGGGGGGTTAACGGGCTAATTTTTTTTTATTTAGTATAAATTATAAATATAAATAATTAAATTATCATATTTTATTTTGATACTTTTCTCAAGCTATATATAATAACTTTTATCATTTAAATCTTTTAATTATGAATTAAATACTAAAGAAAATAAAAATATTCTTTAATATACTTTAGCTCCACCAGCAGCAACAATAGATCCACGATATTTTTCGTTTTCACATAAACCAAGAAATATTCTAAAATAAAGAAATTTATTAATTTGTTTTCTTTTATAATTTATATTTTTTTTCAACCGAACTATTTGTTCACGACAATTTTCACTTTTATGTTTACATAATTGTACTAAAATAGGAATAATTCCAGCTTCAATTAATTTTTTTCGACGTTGATCAAAAAATGTTTTATCATCCTTTTATATTAAATAATATTATATTTATTTCAATTATCTTTTTTTTTTTTAATTTACTTTTGGATGTTCGTTTGGTATATGTTGTTTAGTATAAGTAGCTAATTCAATTATTTCTTTAACTTCTTTAATTATATCATATGTATTTGTTAAATTAACAAATATTGTTGTTATTAAATATAAAATATGTGCATCTTGACATTGACATAAACTAAAAAGAGCTTTTAATGCTAAGAGATTATCAACAAGTTCTTCTTTAACATCAGCATCTAATGATAAATAAGCAAGACTATCAGCTGACCAACGACGAATATTAAAACTTTGACTTGTTGTTAAAAATCTACAAAAAAAACAACAAAAGATAATTGTTTCTTATTTTGTTTTTGTTTTTTCATATACTTGCAACATGCACGACTAAGTGTTTGACATGAACCTTCAGCAACAAGATTTGTACTTGCATCGGTACCTTTACTTGATGCAAGTTTTGATAAACGCTAAAGAATTTCAAAATAAAATAAAAAAGATTAAATAAATACCACAAGAGCAAGAACTTTAATATCTTCTTCATTCATTGATTTATAAAGATTTTTAAGAATATTAGCACCTTGTTGTATAACATCAATTGCTTTATATTTTTTTGATGCTGATAAAACAATAGCTTCAACTGCAATACGCTACAAAATAAAATATTAAATTAGAATATATCAAAAAAAAATCTTTCAAATAACTTCCTGTATTGGATCATTAGAATTCGCCATTTGTAACATTAAATCAAATAAATTTTGACTACCTAATATTGTATTACCAGTATCAAAAGGACCTTGTAAAAGAACAGATAAAACGGATATTGTTTGTATTCTTGATTGAATATCATCTTCTTCACGTAAAGCTCTAAAATAAATATAGAAATTTTTATACCAAAAAAACGAAATTCGATGTTTATGTTTTTTTTTGGAATAAATTTACTTAATAAATTCCATACATTCATTATTAAATTCTTTTCGTTCTTTATCAGAACATAAATCATGATAAACAATTCTAAGTACACAAGATATATGCATTTTAGTTTGTTCTGTTATTGAATATGATTTTTAATCATTATCAGATAAATTAACTACTGTTGATGCTACTCGAAGTACTTTAGGTATACCTATTAATATAGAAAAAAAAACAAATAATAATAATTTTAAATAAATAAAGAAATGTTAATGTTAAGTTTTCAATTAATCAATTAAATATCAGAAAAGTGAAGAATAATAATTTCTTAGAAATATTTATATTCTAATTATATATTTTTAATATGAAAAATAATGTTATTCTTGATTTATTTAATTTTTCTTTTTTTTTATTGAATATTTCCAAGTAAATTCATAATATTAATTTAAATAAATACCTGAAACAATAAATTTATTAATCCAATTACAACCATTTGCTCGATCAATAAATTTAGTAATAAGATCAAGACAACAATCACGACCAATAGCTGAACATGTTTTATTATCAATTAATTGATTAAACATACGAAATATATTATCAACAAATTCATTTATAGATTGATCTAAATTTTTTAAGTTAAAAATTATAATCGAAAATAAATAAAATAAAATACCAAAATTAAAAGGTATATTTATTGGTTTTTGAATTTATCGACGATTTTCAAGATCACATATTGACATAATCATATTATGAACTAAAATAGATGTACTACTAGGAATTTCTTTATCACCTATTGATAAACATCAACCAATTAATTGAAGACCAAGTTTATTATAAATGATTTCAGCCTAGAGAAAATAATAAATTTAATCTATAAGATATTTAGAAACTTTTGTTTTTTCTTGATTTTTCAATAATTCATTGATGTTTATGTTATACATAGACTCCAAAATCAAAATCAATTTTCAAATTGATATATTTTCTTCAAAAACACTTTAACATGTAAATATTTCAGTTTATTTTAAGAAAAAAATAAGTTAATGAGAATGTCGAAGAAAATGATAAACTCGATACTTTTTTTTTTGAAAAATTCTTACTCTTTTATATGAATTTTTAACAATTGAAACCAATATTCTTATAGTACCAAGAAAAGTAATATGTTCATTTGTTTGAATAAATTCTTTAACTTGTTCTAAATCAGGTGTGGATGTGGGTGTGAGGTGGGTGTGCGTGTGGGTGAGGGTGGGAATGTGGAAGCGGGTGTGGGATGTGGATGTGGATTTGTGGGAAGGCGTAGGTGTGAGTATGAGTGGGGGTGTAAGTAGGTATGGGTACTGTTCTTTTCTTAATCGACACCCGCACCCACACCCACACCCACACCCACACCCACACCCACACACCCCACCCACACCCCTATATTCACCTATAGTTTAAAAAACCAATTTGTTGATAAATGTAAATGAAATAGCAAATATATGTATATTATATACGCATACCATTCCAAATATATGTGAAATGATTTCCTCTACTTTACATAATTGATTAAAACCAATAATTCTATTTTGACAATAATCGATTCGAATCCATAAAGAAGAATCATAGTTCTAGGGTGTGGGTGGGTGTGGGTGTGGGTGGGTGTGGATGGGTGTGGGTGTGGGTGTGGGTGTGCGGTGTGGGTGGGTGTGGCTGTGGCTGTGGGTGTGGGTGTGGGTGTGGGTGTGGGTGGGTGTGGGGTGTGGGTGTGGGGTGTGTGGGGTGTGGGTGTGGGGTGTGGGTGTGGATGTGGCTGTGGGTGTGGGGTGTGGGTGTAGGTGTGGATGTGGCTGTGGGTGTGGGTGTGGGTCTAGTTATCAGTATTTATTAGTACACCCACACCCACATCCACACCCCAAAGCTACTCATTGATTGATTTACAGCGCTGCTGCTATAGAAGAACTTTTTCATATGAGAACAATATGAAAAAACCACGACAGGCACTTGCGTAAAATGTGTTTGATATAGTTATAGTGAGTCTATACATTATTTTATTTTAATACGTGGCATTGCGTTATTCTTCTTATAACTTACATGGAAATAAAATCATTTTCAAAAATTTCGTAGAAAACTACACATCACTTCTTCTGTATGTACTTGTGTGGGAATGCGTCATTAATACGATATTGACGTCACTACCTTTTTATGACTATGGCAACACAACATGTTTATAATAAGATTTCTTTTCTTTACGTACCATGATCATATATAAATAATGCATCAAAATCACAGTCTTTTATTCTTCTTCAATTCGTAAAAATTTCTACCAAACCGCGCAAAGTTAATATTGCTTAGTAGCTTACTGTATCTCCCATCTATAACACAAACTCAACTTCGAAATTACACTTTCACACTTTGGAACATTAAATATGAAGCAGTTTCTACAACTTTTAAAACCTTCGCAGTTGAAATATGGCACGACCATTAGAAGAAATTGCAATTATCGACATTGGCGACGAAAAAACTGACAAAAACGCTTAATAAATATTATGAACATTGAATTGACATATAAATAAAAAGACAGGTTTTTGTATACATATACGAAACATACGCTAATATCTCATGGAACAAGTAAATGCTTCAGATTGAAGTGTTCGTTTATTATGATATGATAGAATTATTCCTTGAGGGTGTGCGGTGGGCGTGGGTGTGAGCGTGGGTGGGTGTGGCTGTGGCTGTGGCTGTGACTGTGGCTGTGGCTGTGGAGTGTGAATGAAGACATGATCTATACGCACACCCACACCCACACCCACACACTCTCACCCCCACCCCCACCCACACACCCACACCCACACCCTGGTGTTCGCAGGTGTTCGCGTAGTTTACAGATACCCAATAAAGATATGAGATAAGGTTTTTATTTGAATGTGATATAGATAACATTGAAATAAAAGTCTTATGTTATATCTTCGTTTGACCATATATCGGATAGAAATATGATAAAAAAAGAGACAGTAAAAGCGAAAGTTTTCTGTCTCGCAGTGTAGTTACATAGACCGTAAGTAGCATCAGTGATAGATCGTATACTTTAAAAATTACTTGTATTCTAAATCGCACAAAAATTTTAAGATATATTGCATATATTGCTTGAGACATACTATTCCAAACAACATTTGATGCCTTTTACTTCGAATTAAAATACTATTCGTTTCTTTTACATAGTACGAGTGCTAGAAAAGAAAAATGAATTCATTGACTAACGATATATTGAATAAAAGCGTTGACAGTAAGATTGCCCGTTGGTGTCATTAAAAAATTTACTTTTTTGGCGGTGATAGTATAAGACCTTGTGTAGGGTGCAGTAGAATGAGAGAATATGGCTCAAGTTCAGTGTATAACATGTAGTACACGAGTTAGGAGAGCCAATCTACATTTACTTTCAATTTAATTTACGCTTAAAGTAAATAATAAGACTCCAAATCGTGGATCATTGGCATTCTGGATTTAGGGTCTACTTTCATATCAGTTTTTCTCTTTCGCTGCTCGGTCAAGAATGCAAAAATGGGTATAGGTGTGGGGTGTGAGGCGTGGGTGTAGGAAAGAAAAGATCAGCAGACACACCCACACCCTCAGATCAAGATTCACGATAGATTATCTAAATAAATTTTCTCATATCTTAAATTTATCTCGACATCAATTATGAAAAACAGAGAAATCCACCGTATAAACGATATACCCAGTTAGTTGAGGAAACGTTGTTCTACCGTTAAAACGATGTTTAATGTCACATCGTTTAAACGATGATATATTGATCAAATTACGCGTTTATCGCAAAAAACGATTTTGTATGTCATAAAGTAATATTATGTTCTTGTCGTTTAAACGTCGGATTGTAAATGTCATAAATAGTGATTTGTTGACGTTAAAACCATAATTTTTCTTTATTTTATCTGTCGTAAACGATTCTTTACTTGAAAAAGAAGTTTAATATTCCAGAATCATCTTCGTCTTACATGTAACCTAACCATTTATCTAATTTTATTAATTTGATGATGGACAATACACGTTCGTACTTTTTCTCAATATCTCAATGCATTTCAATGAGTAGGTCTCATTTTGTTTTCGAAAAAGAAGAAGTTAAATTTCTAACAACTCAAAATATTTATTTAAAGAAATGAAAGTTCATGCATCTATAAAACATAAGATATGAATAGAAGTCTCTTCTACAAACTTTTCTTTTTGTATTGATATTTGTTCAAAAGACTTCTACTCATGCCTTATGTTTTAAAGATGAATGAACTTTCACTTCTTTAAATAAATATTTTGACTTTTTAGAAATTCAACTATTCTGTTTTCTTGAGAATAAAATGAGATCTTTTCATTAGAATATGTTGAGATATTACAAAAACCTGACTGCACTCTTTCTTCTGACACATCGATCGTTTTTTAAAAGTCTTTTTTCTATACTCTTCGTAGGTAATTAGAAATTTGTCGATCGCTCAAGGATGATGCGTTTGTCTTACATCTGATAAATATTCTATCGAAATCCTCTCAAGTTTT